TTGGGTCAGGCCTGCCGGGTCCAGGACTCAAACTGCCATCGGCTACATGGGAGTCCAGCAACATAGCCATTACACCAACTGCTGGTCCCCCATCTTGATTTTTTAACATGCTTGCCAATTTGGTATTATTCTAAGAGTGCACTGGCTGGGCTCCCTGGCCGTGGTTTTTACCCATCCTCGAGTCTCTCTCCTGCCCCAGCCGCTGCTACACTCCTCGCTGGCTTGCCCATCTAACAAGAGTCTGCATGCTGTTAATATTTATTACCCAAACTTCCTCACTTGCTGCTGTAGCTACTGCAATTTGGCACCAACTTCTGGCACTGGACCAAGAGGACCTTCGGCTGGGGCCACCAATGCCATCCATGTTGCTGTATCTAAATGACAGTCTCGGTGTTTACTGGGACGACAAATCCTCCATTAGCTCCTCCTCCTTCCTGAAGCATAGTCTTCCCTTGACTTCTCTTTTCCTATCTTTCTGGTCAACCCTTCCCTTTTTGTAGCTTTACTCATACCCAGTCTCCCCAGACAACGTCACCCACACAAATGTCTTCACCCGCCAGCCCTACACGGGGACTGAGGTCTCTGAGCAGCCAGCATAGACCTTCCCTCTGAAGTCGGATCTGCGAGTACAACAGGCCCCTTGACACTGGGTGCTGGGAAGGCACCTCAAGCCAGCAAGCTGAGACCACATCAACAACTGCATCTCCATTTCTGGCATTCTTCCAGGGTCCCTATCTCAGAAAAAAGGGAATTAAGCACCTGTCATGTGTTTGATTGTCGTATGCCCAGGCACTGTTTGGGCACTTGGGATAAGTCAGTGTGTAAAGCAATGCCCTCCAGTCCCAGAGTCCACATGCTTGTCCAAATGAGCCTTGTGTTTCACCTGGAATCCTCTGGCCTGGTGTGTCCATACCTGTCCATGGACTCCCTAGTCTGTTCTCCACATTCGAGCCAGAGTGAAAAAGAGGCTGTGTATCACAAGAAAAGACAACAACAAAAAGCTCAATTATTAGGAACCACAAATGGTGTAGTGGTTACATCACTGGACTCCCATTTAGTTGCCCATGGTTCAAGTCCCAAACCCGGCAGCTTAAAACTCATGTTGGGTGCATGTGCATACATGCTCAAAATCCTGAGAGGAGGATGGAGAAGGGATTGTGGTGTGGCCATCCCCTCTGTGGGGTTTCTTACTTTTTGTCTCTCCAGTGAGCTCATGTACCTTATAGCGAAAATCTCTCTGAAAAACAAACAAGCAAACAAAAACAAAGCTGAACTATTGATGATTTAAGGATGCCAAGCCTGGAATCAAAGTAGACCACCGTGTCCGGGACTTGAACCTCAGTCAGTTATGTGGGAGTCCAGCAATGTAACCATTAATCATCTGCTGGTCCCAAAAATAATTTTTAAAACAGAAAAAAATACTGATCAAGATACACGTGTGGGAACCAGCAGTTAGCGTAATGGCTATGTCACTGGACTCCCATGTAGTCGACCGCGGTTCACGTCCCGGACCCAGTGGCTTAAAACTTACGCCGGGCACGTATGCGTGCATGCCCAAGATCCTGAGAGGAGAATGGAGGAGAAGGGATTGCAGTGTGACCATCCCCCCTGGGGGGTGATTTCTTGCTTTCTGTCTCTATGTCTCTCTCTGGCGAGCGCACGTGCCCTATAGCAAAAATCTCTCCAAAAAAAAAAGAAAAAAGATACACGTGTTACAGGGACCAGCAGATGGCGTAATGACTATGTTGCTGGACTCCCATGTAGTTGACTGTGGTTCGAGTCCCAGATCCAGCAGCTTAAACTAACACCAGGCACATGTGCGTGCGTACCCAAGAGCCGGAGAGGAGAAGGGATTGTGGTGTGGCCATCCCCCCTTGGGTGGTGATTTCTTGCTTTCTGTCTCTCTGTCTCTGTCTTTCTGGCAATCGCAAGCGCCCTATAGCAAAAACCTCTCCAAAAAGTTTTTTAAAAAGATACACATGTTACATTAGAAGGAAAAGGGGGAGCGCACATGTTCGCGATCCCCACACTGAAATAGCCCTGCAGCACACATTTCAGACTACGCAGGACTGGCGACAGGTATAGTAGGGTCACGGTATGTTAGCTCCCGGTCTCTCTCACGACCCATGCCTTTACCCACCAGTGAATGCATAGTGTTTAGAGCAGTTCCCGAACAGCCAGGAGCAGAGCAATACCTAGTGAGCGCGTGAACGGACAAAGGCGCTCTGCTCACAAAGACGCCAAGAGCTGTTTGTAATGGAAGTGTCTTGCAAAGTCTATGGCTGAATCACCCCAAATCCTTGGAGGAGAGACTATATTTGGTAAAAAAAAAAAAAGATTTTTTTTAAGAAAAGGAAACCATATTATAATTACGTGAGATATTTCAATACAGAAAATAACACACTTGATTTCTTTTAGGGGAATATTAGAAAATGTTTTGTTTTAAAAAAGTAAACAGCCGGGGACAGCCGGGGCACAGTGGTTGGGAAGGTGGATCCTTCATGGCCAACTGCACGGTTCAAGTCCAGGACCCAGCAGCTTGAAAACCTCGCAGGGTGTGTGTGTGTGTGTGTGTGTGCATGTCCAAAGTCCTGAAAAGAGAAATGGAGAAGGGACTGTCGTATGCCCATTGCCAGTGACAGCAGCTACCTTCTCACTCTTCTCTTGCTCTCTGTCTCTCTCTGCTGAGTGTATATGTTCTCTAGAAAAATGGAAACAAGAAAAAATAGTACATTTTAGGGCCAGCCCTGGAGCACAATGGCTAAGTGCTGTCATTGGGAGCTGGATTCCACATAGCCAACCACAGTTCGAATCCCAGCCACAGAGTTTGAAGAACAGCCTGAGTGCGTGTGCCTGCAGGCCTGCATCCTGACGGGTGAGGACACAGCAAGGGTCATGTATGACCACATGTCACTGGGGTGCACTCTCGCTCTCACTCTCGCGAACACATGTGCCCTTATACCCATGCCCACTAGCAATTCTCAAAAACTGCATTTAAAAGAGTATATTTTAGTGCGTTTGTGTTATAAACTTTTTAAAAATATCTAAACGTTTTGGATTTAACTTGTTAAAATTCTGACAGTTTGGGGGCCCAGCTGTGGTAGTGCAGGGGAATGCGACTACTCAGCAGGCTGAGCCCACGTCGGAAGCCCGTGTTAGATTTCCGGTCCACCCTAAAAGCAAGATGCGGCAGCAGCACTGTCGTCCCAGGTACTCGGGGGGCTGAGGCAGGAAGACGCGAGACAGTGCTCTTGTAACAGAGAAAGTAAAGCGCTTGACGTCTGTGTTGAGGACATGAAGACCCTCGTCCCTTTACTCACCCTCTAGATCAGATTCCCAGACATCTCTAGCTCATGGCACCTTCAGGGTCTCTCCGATTGTCTCAGTGCCACGAGCCAACAGCAATGCTCCCCCGTCCATTTATTTACTGAGTAGCTTGCCCAACAAGCTGACAGCCTTTATGTCCTAAAAACTTAGTCATCATGGGTGGGGGGGATGCTACTCATCAGTGGAAAGAAACATATTGCCAAGACACTTTTTCTCCTTTTAGGCTGCCACAGGGAACGTGCGCATGCCAGAGAGAGAGAGAGACAGTGAGAGGGAAAGTGGAAACTCATTTGTGGGGTGGATGACCATGCCGCAATCCTTTCTCCTCCAATCTCCTTCTGGGATCGGGGGAATGCTGGGTCCGGGACTCAAACCATAACTGGCCACGTGGGAGTCCGGCACTTTAACCACCATGCCACCTGCTGGCCCCCTTTCAAGTCATCCTTCAGTAACCACGATTGTGTATTAATCAAGCGTGTGCACCTGTGGGGCACTGCAGCGCTCCTCCACCCTGAGTCAGACTGGGCACCCCCATCTCCCACAGCTGGCATTGCATGGATTTTTGCATGGCAGCCGCTGACAGCCCAGGCTGGTGACGATGGGGTGTCAGAGAGAATTCAGCACAACCAGGGGCGAAGCCGTGAGCCACCTGAGCCTCGTGTTTTAACTGATGGCCAGCAAACATGGGCTGTCCTTGCATTTCCCTGTAATGTAAAGACAGGCAGCAGGGCTCCGTGAGTCACCGCAGCTAGCCGGGCCCTCGTCTCCTGCTGGAATAGGGGAGCGGTAGCAGCACACGTTTTGGAGACCACAGTGCCCAACTACTTTTATCTCCCCCACGCCCATCCCCGTAATTCCAAATGTTTAAACTCATGTCAGAGCTCTTCCAGAAAGCCTACCCTGATTACCCAGATGGAGGGAACCTCTCCTCACTCCATTGGAATCGCTGGCATAGGGGGATACCCCCATTCTTCTCG